CTAGGAGGAGCCTTTCTCTACCATGGTGCCTGTGCTAGGTGGGGGCTTGTGGCAGGTGCCACACCCAGTGTGGGGACAGCAGGCCTAGACAGGCAGCCTGTGGAGAGAGGGGAAGACACAGATGTGTGGGTCACCTGACCCTGTACCATCCCTCGCTGCTGCCCTCTGGGTGGGCGGGCCAAGTGGCCCAGCATTGATACAGGACTGAAGGGGCCCCAGGGATGAAGAGTTGGGGGTGGGAGAGACTGGCCTGTACCACTGGGGAGCTGCCCTTGGATTGCAGAAGCTGCCTGCTGCTCCTGAAACCCCTTGGGACCCAGGGAACACAGAGGTGGAGCTGGGAGATGGCCTGCCCCGGAGCAGTCCGGGAAAGTGGAAGGGCTCAGATGCAGGAACTCCAGGGCAGGGGCAGCTGCTGCTCTCACTGGAGGTGACAGGCACTCTGCAGCACAGCACCAGGGAGCCAGCCCGGGAGGATGCCTGCGTGGGACCTTCTGGATGGGGCTAGGCACTGGTCCTGGCTCCCTGCACCATCAGAGGCCTCAGGCCTGGAAGAGTGACTATGCCTCCCCCATGAATCCCAACAGAAAGAACAAACTAAAGTTCCACTGAGTAGACACAAGGAGGCCCAGCAATGCCTCGGCTCCCCATTCAGTGACTGCCCAGGCTCTCTTTCCGAAATGGCAAGTAGCAGTCCTCCAACACCCCTTCTGCTGAGGCACCTGCTCTGCTAGGTCCTGCCTGCTGGTGGGCCAGCACTGAGCTCAGGAGACAGGCAGCAGATCTCCAGCAAGCCTGTGCAGAGCTTCAGCTGGGAGTCAGATGACCTGGGCAAGCAAGTGGGCAGGCTGGGCCTGGGGCCTTGAGGCTTCTGGCAGGGACAGTGGGTTTGTCTGCTGCCTTCAGATTGCCGGGCTCTGGAAGTGAATCCAGGAGCCACCCTGAGATCTGGAGGAAGGACATTTGCCTAGCAGGGTGAGGGTTGGTGTTGGGGGGAGGAGGGGGAAGGATGTCTTTTTGCTTTGGAAGCAAACACTTAGGCCTCACCTGGAAGTTATGATTCTAATCAAGTTCTGTTGTGTGGAGCAATTTTTTCCTTTTGATTTCTGGCAAAATATCTCCTCTAATATATCTTCAGTTTTCTGAGTTCCCAACCCTCTGTTTAAAACCAGTTTTCCCCATCTGGAAGCACAGCTGCCCTCATCCCCAAAACCAAAGTCATTAAAATGGAATCTTCCAAACCAGTTTTCATGCTTCTTTTTAATAGAAATGAGCATTTGTTTATAAAGTGTGGATTGCTAATTTTTTTTTCTTAATTTGAACAAATTGAACTCAGTCGAAGAAGAAAAGAAAGTCATCTGCCAATTGAGACTTCCTGTTCCAGCTGTGGAGTGATTTTCACAGACGGGGGTGAAGCCAGTGGCTCCCTGTGACTGTTTCTGTGCCTCCCGGGGTCCTGGCCTACAGGTGGCTCTTCTCAGGTGGCTTACACCTGATTAGCCTGAGTTTGCTGTTACACCCTGGGTGGAAATGGCTGCCCCCTGGTCTCCCTGTGACTGTTAACCTCCTGAGGTCCCCCATAGGTCTCTGGAAGAAGCAAGACTGAGGAGACTATCCTTCAAATTGAGATGGAAAATACATCAAGATGGTCAATCGCTCCTCCCCCAGCCCAACTCCCAAAGCCACGCTTGATTTCAATGCGAAATCTTAGAAAGAGGGTTGGCAAACCTTTGCTATCAGGAGACAGATAGTAGGGTGGCGTCCGAAACTCAGTGGGTAGGATGCCGACCACATACGCAGAGTCTGGCGGGTTCATAACTGGCCCAGGCCTGCTAAAACAACAATGATAACTGCAACAAAAAATAGCTGGGTGTTGTGGAGGGCGCCTGTAGTCCCAGCTACTTGGGAGGCTCAAGCAAGAGAATAGCTTAAGCCTGAGAGTTGGAGGTTGCTGTGAGCTATGAGGCTACAGCACTCTATGGAAGGTGACAGCTTGAGACTCTATCAAAAAAAAAAAAAAGAGATAGATGGTCTCAGTCGAGAGAGTGCCCTTTGGTCCTCATGCAGAGGCTGCTGAGATAACGCTTAAATGAATGAGCAGGGTATGTTCCAATAAAACTTTATTGATGGACACTGAAAATTGAGTTTCACATAATTTTCATGTGTCAGGGCATATTGTTATTCTTCAGAGCTTCTTTGCTTTCAAACATTAAAAAATGTAAGAAACAAGCTGAGTTATGTGAAAATGGGCCTTGGACCAGGTTTGTCCCAGAGGCCAGAACTAACCCAAATCCATCCCAGAGCACAGATGCAGCAGAGTTCTTGAAAGGGCAGGACTCGTGACATTTTTTGTGATTTGTCCAAAAGAAGTCATATGGAAGTTACTGCTCTGGGCCTCTCAGCCCCCTTAAGGGAGTCACTCGTGCAGGAGGGTGGACCAGACAGCTTTTCTTCATCCTTGGAGAACCCTGGGGATAAGTTAGTTCCTCTGACACCCTCTGACCCTGGGTCCTGGGAAGGTGCTTTGCTGCTTTCTTGACAGATCCTGCACTGAGCAGCCTTTTTTATAGGTCTGCCCCTTAGTTCTCATATGGGTGTAATGCTGGTAGCACAGGGATGCAACCAGGAGGGGACACCTCCATCACACCTATCAGACAGGTGAGTCCAGGTCTTGCTGCCCAAGTGCAACTTCCCACAGCCTGATCCAACCCGCCCTGTGCCCGCGCCCTCTGTGAGAAACTTGCCTTTCACATTTCTAGCCCACCCTCATGCAAGAAAACAAGGCATGCAGGTGACAGTGTGGGATAGGGGTTCTGCCACACAACAGACATTGCAAGACGTCTCTGTAATTTCTTTAATTATTCAAACAATAAAGCACAAAGATAACAGTTTCAAGTACATTCTGACACACGTTTTTTGACAGGAGAGGATATGCATTTAGTCATGGGGGGGGCTGGCAGTGACCACCATGCATACATTTTGCACAAGCTCTTGGCACCATTGCCCCGAGGATGAGGAGTGGCGCCCCCACCTGGGGGGGAGGTACAACTTTGTCACACCCTGTATCTAGTTTCTCTACGCAGTGGTTTCCTTTCCTCACTTGTGAAAAAGAATTCATACTAGAAAGCTGTGGAAAGACTTTAAAAAGAGAAGCCAGGATGTCAGGTGACAGCACCCAGCAGCCTAGGTGTTCCATCTGGGAGAAGCCCTGCTCAAGGTGCCCTCATCACCGGCAAACTGGACTGCAGCCGTGGATACCTGTGGGCTTGGCCAACACCTGACCCCTCTTTTTGACCATATGGGCTGCACGGTAGTTCATCAGATCACTCAACACAGCCAGAAGAGCTAGTGTGTCCTTTGACCAACTTAGAATTAGACATGAACAGTCAAAAGAACAGAAGCCATTGTGAACACCAGCCTTGAACCTGCTAGCTACCTAGAAGAACATAGAAAAGTCTTTTACAAGAGAAAATGAGGACTGCGCCTGCCTGCAGAGCCTGGGCCCTGGGAGCACACAGAGGCCAAGCCCACCGGCCCTAGCACATGACCTCAGGGGATGGTCACTGGCAGCCAGATCTACCACAGGCCTAGCCTCAGGAGCCAGAACCCACCAGTTGGGACTGAGGTCCGTTCCATCCTGCTCCCTAAGCCTGAACTACCTCCACACAGGCCTAACCTCCTAGGAGGCCCCAAGCCCATACATCTTGGCCCTTCAAAGCCCAGACTGTTCAGATACTATGGCCCAAAGCACAAAGCATGACAGTCACCTTCAATAAGCCAAAGATCTGAGAGTGATCCATTGCCTGGTCCCTGGCAATGGCTGAGGGCTAAAACCCTCTTGTCCAAACCTATGGGGCAGCGTGAAGCATGGAGGAACCTTCTCCCAACTCAGCTGACATCAGGCACCAGCTGGCGGTACATGCTCAAGTAGGGCTGTGCCCTGCAGATGTGAGTCCACACCTAACAACCACACCAGACAGACACTTGGATCTGGAGTCACTAGCGTGGCCCAAGGACCCTGGAAGACATTCTAGTGACTGGTCCAGGAGGAGCAGGCAGAGAATGCACATTCCACAGTGGGCTTGTCTCTTGGATTGGGGGAACTCTCAAGAAAAGAAGGTAGGAGGTTCAGAGATCACCTGGCCCTCCGCTCTGGGGACCCTTTCTGGAAAGGGCACAACACACCTCAGAAAGCAGCAGTGGGCCTCCTCCCTACAGACCAGGGAAGGCCTGAGGTCTGCCCAGCAGTCACAGGGAGCCTGGAGGAAGTGCTCAGGGCCTGCCTGCAGGGCCACTTCCTCTGGGCCTACAAATTAGGCTTTGCAAGTTAAGGAGTGGCAGTGGGGATAGAAGAGTCCCCACACACAGCACCCCCAAACTTTGGGAGTGTAGGAAGAACTTCACACAATAAATACTAATGGAGCTGAGGTTTCTCCAGTGATGAGAATAAACAAGTTGATTTGTTTACCTACTTTGGTTACCTACATAAGTCAGTCTGAATTCACAGTATAAGCAACACATCTAAATATAATATTGGGAGCTCCTGTCAGTACTAGGTTTCCCAAACAAAGAAGCCAAAAAAGCAAAGAAAAAGGGCTGCAACAGGAATTCTTAGTTATCATATACTAACCAGTCTGTGCGTGGCACATTTTATTTCTATAAAACTATTACAAAATATTCAAAAATACATTTTAGTAAATTTACAGCAGTTATTTCTCAATTTATTAATGCAAAACATCCTTTGTTTTTCTCTGTACAAACTACAGGCTCCATCCTTGTGGGCTCATCACTATGTGCACTTTTAAAAAATATTATTTTCTAATAAATTCTTTGAAGTTAAAAATAACAGAGTTCTTCCAGTTTGTCAAAAAAAAAAAAAAGTGAGAAAGTGTGTGTGTGTGTGTAACAGTCTTGGCTTCCAGGAATGTGGCCAAAATGCTGATTACAAACCCAGTACTAAACCATGAACACAGTACAGGAGATGGCTGTTACATTGGAAACTAGTTAAATTAAAATAATATATTTTCATATTTTACACTATTTCAAAAAATGAAATGTAATTCAGTTAAGTATTGATCTCTCAAAAAATCTAATTTACAATTCTGTGTATAAAAATATAATTTGTGGACCCCCACAAAGCACGTTTGAGTTTACACTTGCGGAAAAGCAGGATTGCGGCAAAGCAGGAATGCGGAGTACAGAACTTTGCTTTCTGACAAGACGAGGGACATGTAGAAAAATAGACTCTGAGCAGGTTGCAGCGGCCTCACAAAATAATCTTCCCCCTGTGAGTACAGTTCACGTGATAATAATAAATTATCCAAGAAACAAACTATTTAAGGCTCTTGAAGGTCCGGTTCATATTATTTAAAACATCTATTCATACCAAACAAATAAATAGCCAGGAGAGGAAGAAAAAAAAATAACCAAAAATAAAACAATAACCAAAAAAATCAAAAATATATATATATAAACTAAATACAACAACAAAACTTCCCAGGGTCTTGGTTTCCTTATAGTCTACTTTGGACTGTCCTACTTTATTATTACCATTAATTATTATTATTCTTCAGTCTCATTCCGTGCGCTTTTTCCGTGTGTCTTTTGCCTTATCTTGCGCGGCTTCCCCAGCCCCCCTCCCTCCCGAACCCCCGACCCGCCTCCTGGGCTTCAGCTGGACGTGACCGCCATGCCCAGGGGGTGCAGGGCCTCGCTGTCCAAAAGCCAGATGCCTATTTGGTAGAGCAGCCGTGAGTACCAGTGGACGCCCGCAGCCCCCGGAGCGTCGGCCTCACCTGGCGCGGGCAGGGGCACGCGGCTGCCGCCCCCGCCTTGGCTGTCCCCACCACGGTCCGTGCGCGCGGGCGCCAGCGCAGCCAGAAGCGCGTGGGCCAGGCGGAAGGGCGCGAAGGCCTGGTGCGCCCAGCTGTGCTCCTCTATGACCGCGTAGCACGAGGCCAGCACCCGGTTGATGAGGATGGTGCCCTGGGCCGTGAGCGGCGCGTACGCGCCTGTGGCCTCCTCGCGCAGCGTCACGCTGTGCACAGAGGCCGGCAGCAGCCGGCGGTCCCCGTTGCGCTCGGCCACCACGTACACACGCTGTCCCGGGCGCACGCGGCTAGCGAAGAGCGCCCGGCGCCCGGGCGCGCCCCCCGGCGGTAACCCAGCGGCCGAGTCGTTGTGCGGCGCCACGAAGAGCAGGTGCGCGGCGGTGAGCAGCAGGCGCTCCCGCGGCTCCCGCGTCTCGATCACGTAGAAGACCTTCTTGGCGCTGTCGTCGCGATCCAGGAAGGTGAGGAAGTCGCTGTACAGCAGCTGCCCCTGGCTGTCCGCAGCCAGCACGCGATCCCCGGGACGCAGGTCCTTCACCAGCTTGGTGCCGCCCTGCTCCAGATGCACGGTGGCCGAGCCAGGGAAGCAGCCGCCGGATTTGGCCGCCACCGAGTTCTCTGAGGGTGAGAAGAAGGAAAGAAGCGGGGACAGGGTGTTGAGTTCTGAGAAGGGGCGCGCCTGGGCAGGGGGTGCATGCGGCGCGGAGTGGGACGAGCCCAGACTGGCCCAGCGCGGACCTCCCTCCCCTAGCCCGCCGCCTCAGTGACAAAATCCCAATGCAGGCACATTTCTTAACGACTCTCCAAGATTGGGCTCGCAGTGGCAAAGGTAGACAGGCGTTTCCTGCGGGAGGCCGGTTCGGCTACCTTCCCTTCCACCTTCCTCCGGCCCCATCCCCCAGCTCAGCACACACCCCGCGGTCGCGAGTCCAGGAGGGTGTTCACTCTCCACTCGGATTCCTCAGGCCGCCTCCTTCCCTCCCGCCCCGGGCGCAGGCCTTGCTCCTGCGCTCCGCACCGGGCTGCACCGGAGAAACCCCGCGCCCGCCTGTGGCCCGCGCCCAGCCCAGGACCTGGGAGTCGGCCCGTGGAGGGACATGGCCACGGAGTGAAAAATAGCCGTCGGAGTTGTCACAACTGGACAAACATTCCAGAGAATTGGCCGAGGTGTGAAAATCCGAGGCTTGTGTAGATTTTCTAATTAAAATCCAATAAAGGGCTGGCCTTGTCATTGTGATTTCTGGAATAAATAGGAGGCACTCTCGGACGAGGGGACTCTTCATTTTCTCTCCTCCCCTTTCTCAGCTCGCTCTCCCGCTCCCGGGCCGCCCCCTCCCTATTTGCTCAGGTGCAACCCCCCCGTGTGCAGTTCACACGCGGCCTCTCCGGAGCCGGGCCTCACAGCGCTGTTTGCACAGCCAGGCCTCTCCTCTCCACACTCAAGACGGCGCATTTGAATTGTAAATGGTCCGGCCTGTTCCGAGCGCTGGCAGCGCCCGGTTCTCAAGGCCCCTTGACTACCGGCTTTCTCGAGCCCTCTATGGCTCTCTGAGGCTCACTGTCCCGGGACAATAATGGAAGCTGGGGCGGAGCGCAGGGAACTGGGAGGAGGGGCGGGGAGGTCCCCGACGTCTTCGCATTCCAATCTCCAGGATCATGCTTTTTGCAAATAGAGATTGCGAGAAAGAATCTTCCTGCCGGAATTACAGAAGGTTTTTAATCTTCTCATCGGTTTCTCCGTCATGAAGTGCGGGGCTGGCCGTTGAGGGCCTCCATGGCCCCCCGGAATGCGACCCGGGACGCTGGTGAGCTCGAGTCGTCGAGTCGCACGACCCTGCTTGACACGCACTGCGCCGCGCCCCCGCCCGCGTGCGCGGAATGCCAATGAGCGGCTCCCCGCGCCGGGCCAGATTCTGGGCCGGGATTACCGCTGCTCACTTTGGGGGGAGGCCTCCAGGGACCCCCGCTAGGGGGACCTCGCGGACAGGGTGGCCGGGGAAAGGGCTCTGCGCGGATGGCGCAGCCTCTAAGTGCCGGGAAGGGCGCGGGCATGGCCCAGACAACTCTCGCGTCTCCACTGCCCACAGGGCAGAGGAAGGAGCCCCCGCCGAGGTTCCCTCCGCGAGCCCTGGAGGAGGGGCTCCTCGCCTTCCTTTGAGCACTAGGCCGCTGATCCCCCTATCCTCACCCCTCCCAGGCTTTCCCTTTCCGTGCTTACAAGAAGCTACTATTTATCTACGAAGTGTGTCTTGACACTTTAAAAGTGTTTTCCTACTGACATATGCCATTAAAATAAAAATAGGAGACAAATGGGGAAGTCTGCGGGGGTGGAGGGACCGACTGTGAGTACTTCCTTCACTGTGAACTGAACACGTGTGAGCCCTCCGAGGGCTGCCTAGGTGCTTGCGTGCGTGGGGATAAGGCGGCCTTCCCGGCTGTTCCTCGCAGGCAACGGCATGTGGCGTTGCAGCCCAGGGAAACCAGCCTCTGAGTCTCTCTCCAGCTGCAGACGCGGAGTCGCAGCGTCTTTGCTGGCCCTGCCCCCCGGCGGGAGGCATCCCAGCTGGGCTCCTAATAAGAACGGATGCTTCTGGGCCTGCGGCCTCCAGATGTTGGAAGTGGTAACTACTGGGCTTATTACCTCCCACCAGGCCTCTCCCTAAAGGCTCAGCAGTGAGTGAAGTTGTTTGGAGTCCACAGACACTCTTAGTGAGGGGAGAGGAGCTGCAGGGGACAGAACCTCCTGCACTTGTGGGTGGGACCCAGTTGGTTCTTAAGCCCTAAATGAGAGGAAGGATCTACAGTGGACGTGGCTAAACGTGCAGGGCCGTGCTTTCTCCCAGGAAAGTCCTAGTGCACCTCCCCCATTCCTGCTGTCTCCATCTCCACCACCTGCGGGGTGGGGTGAGAGTGCTCCGGAAGCCAGGGCCCCTCCACCTCTGGACTTGCAGAACCTGGGCCTTTGGGTTCTCAAAGGTAGGGGGGCAATTCCTGGGTGAGGGTATGTTTTTGCAACAGGAAGTGTCATCTCCTAGACCCCTCCCTCCCCAGACCGCACCCCTTTTTTCCCTTGAATAAGGCCTCAGGGTGACACAGACAGCCAACTGTGAGCAGATCCAGAGTTGCTTGGGGGGGGGGGACATGGCTCTCGGGGGCCAGGGGTCTGGGGTCACCTTACCTGCTTTCACTGAGCAGTGGATATGCGCTTTGGACTCGTAGTAGACCCAATCAAAGCCGGCCTCCACTGCCAGGCGGGCCAGCATGCCATACTTGCTCCGGTCACGGTCTGATGTGGTGATGTCCACAGCTCGGCCCTCATAGTGCAGCGACTCCTCTGAGTGGTGGCCATCCTCGTCCCAGCCCTCAGTCACCCGCAGCTTCACTCCTGGCCACTGGTTCATCACTGAGATGGCCAAAGCGTTCAACTTGTCTTTACACCTCTGTGAAGAGAAGGGGGGAACCCAACAGGCAGGCACCTTAGCATGGGAACCACCACCCACCCCAGCCCCTTGGTCAGCTGGTGCTGCCCAGTCTCAGGCAGAAAAGTGGGGAGCCCAGGCTCAGAATGGGGCCCAGCCAGTGCAGAGTAGAGGACACGGCATAGGAGGAGTTGAGCTGAGAGCTTTCCTAACATGGCCTGAGAAGCAAGGACAGCTTCTCTGAAACAAGTGAACTGTGTTTCAGACTGACTCTGGTGTCCTCAAGAGGCACCATCAGCAGTGCCTGCCACAGGTTTTCCCCCTCTCCCCAGCCCCTTGCTCACACCGGTGACAGCCTCCACCTTTCTCCCTGGGTTAAATATCCCCCCAAGGAGGCCAGAGCAAGGCCCAGGGTGCAAGTTGTAGAAATAAAGAAAAATGCACTATGTATTTCTTAAAGGATAGAAAGCCTTGGGTTTCTCTTGGGACCTTCCCCCAACCCTGTGCCTATTGATGTGAGAAGGAAACCAAAGGTGAGCAAGGGAGGGAGGTGGGGAGCTGATAGCAACTCTCCAGCGAGTGGGAGCGGGCCCAGAGAGAGGCAGCCAGGTGAGTCCTAATTCTCAATACAGGCCAGGGCCAGGACAAACATTCTTTATCTGGACAGCCACATTCTTTTTCTCCGTGGAACTCTTTTCTGCCTGGCTTTTCTGTGGTCTGATTGTGTTTCTTGTTTTCTTTAACCTGTTCCCTTCCTCCCCTCTTGTCGTCTTGGCCCCAGTCTAGAATGGTGTCCGGCAGGTTTGAAGAGCAAACTTAAGAGGTGGAGGGAAGAAAGGGGAGGGGACGGGGGTGGGGGAGGGGAGCCAGAAAGGCCTGAAGCCTCTGAGCCCTTTGCCTGGGGAGTCTTCCTCTCAAAACCACACAGCCCCCTCCCGCTTCCCCTGGGAGTAAAGTAACATTGAATAGGCAGCGGAGATCCGGGTAAAGTGGAACTCAGGACTGTGGGGGTTAGGTCACTTTCAGATAAAGACGCAATAGAAAACAGTTGAATCAAGTGTGTGTGGGGTATGAACTCACCTCCTGGACATTTCTACTGCTGGGGGGGGGGTGCACAGAACTCGAAAAGGGAGAACTGGAACAATTGATGACAGAGGCATGTCCCAGAGAAGCAGGCTCAGGTGGGGGCAGGGGAGCAATTCAAGTTGACCTCTAGAGAGGGTTTTAGGGCTGGCCAGGAAGGATGCTTGCCTGGAACCGGGTTGTGGGATGGAAATAGAGTCCCTATCTAGAGTTCTGATTTTATTGTAGGGGAACCTTTGCTGAGTGATGGAAACGCGGGGTCAGACCTCTATCAAGGACTGCTCAGGACAAATTTCGAAACAGGAAAAGTCTTGTGTGTCTGGCACAATAAAAAGCAGTGACATGGTTGTAGGGTTAAACATACAAGGGGGGGCAGAAGGGGGGGCGGCCCTGGTAACAGGTTAGTGTTTGCAGGGTTCTGGGCCTGCCAGCAGTTAAAAAAAAAAAAAGTCGGAAGGGCAGAGTTTGAGTGAGGTCATCTTGAGGACTGAACGCGTTTTACATGAAAATCAATCAGTAAACCAGGGTCAGTTTAGAACTGGGATGTGCAGCCGGGTGCGCAGGCGCACACCACCGATACACACGCAACACTCATTCCGAGCCCCCAACCCCAGCTCCCCTGTTTTTTGGGGGGCGCAGATGAAGCTTTAAACAGATTCCCCTGGGGAGGCCAGGGAGCAGTAAGACGGGATGGGGAGGACCCAGAGCCCCCAGCACCCTGAGCTGCGCCACTTGGGCAGGACACGGAGGGCCCCAGGAGAAGAGGTGGCGGCGCCAGGGACAGGCTGAAGCTGAGGGTTGCCCGAGTTGGCACCTGGTGGCCCACGCGCCCTCCCCTCCGCCCCAAGCCGGGCGCGGCCTCCGCTGGCGGGCTGCAGAAAGCTCCTCCGCCCCGGTTGGGCGGGACTATCGCAACCAAAGCCAGGAAGCCCAGGTCGGTTATTAATTCATTGGGTCGTGTGCCGCGAATCAAGCCCGACTCTGTGCAGCCACCGTGAAGCGCAGCAGGGCCGCGGGGCCCGGCCGGCTTTGTGCGGCGGAGGCCAGGTAGCTCCCTACGCCCGAGCTCCTGCCCGCTGTCCATCGGCATGGCCGCGTCGCCCGGAAGTGCCGAGCAGGGACTTGTACCGCCAATGGCCGGTGGGCGTCCCCCAGCTCGGGCAAGGGTATCCCAACTTCTAGAGAGAGCTGCAGCCATTCTCTAAATGCTCCTGTCACTACTCCCTGGCCCTACTACTAGGGGAAACAGCCCGTTCCTGCCGAGACAGAAAACCCTCCGCAGACCCACACCTGAGCGTCGCCGTCCCCCAGGCCCAAGTCACACGGGAAATCTATTCAACGCGGCGTCCCAGGGTACCCCCACTTCAGCCCCTGCCCCCTCGGAGCCCCTGGGCCGCGGCACCCTCGCCTGGCACCGCGGGCGTGTCTGCGCTCCCCTCTCCCGAGTTAATATTAACCAGGAGCTCATGCGTTCCAGAACTGCTCTGAAAGTTCCACTGGGGACGATCTTGCCATGGTTGAGGGACTCGCGGCAGTCACATTAGAGAGACACAGAGACAGGGAGGGGGACGAGACAAGAGGAGGGACACGCACCTGGGAACAGAATCTGGGTGGTGATTTAAAACGAGGGCCATTGGGTGAGCAGGCTCCCCAGGGGCCCAGACCTCCGGGCCAAGGTCTCCGCACGTTTCCTCACCCCAGGCCCCGACTGCCGCATCCCTCCCTCCCTGGTCCCCCCAACTCCGAGAATAAGGAGAAGGAAGGGAGGGAAAGGTGAGCCAGGGGTACCTCCCAGGATGGCACCCCCCCCCCCCGTCACGTTTTAAAGAGACCTTTGTGAGATAACCCAGGCCGGGTTCTCCCCACCCAACCCCCACTTTGGCTGTGCCTCCCCCTCCCTTTGTGTTGGGAACGGGAATAGCCACTGCCCAAGGAAAAAAGTATTTGTTTTCGTTTGGTTCGTCTGAGGGAAGTTGACAGAAGGTCAGAAGTTCAAATGCTGCCAGCGCGCGGCAGCGAGAGTGGCCGAGCGCTGGGCCGCTGAGCCTTGGGTCCCGGGCCTGGGCGGCTGGGGCTGGGGCTGGGGCAGGGACCCGCCCCGGCTCTGCTGGAGGCACTGAGGGCACAAGGAGGGGGTTCGGCCCGGTAGGCCGCTGAAGCCTGCGCTGTCCCCCCTCCAGCCCTTGGTCGGCCCCTGTGTCCCCACCTCCCTGCCCCTACGCGGGATAATTGAGGCAACCCCAGCACTGCGTTGCTCTTTCAGGGCCCCCACTCCGGCGCATGGGGCGTCAGGGACCGGCGGCTGGAGCTCCAGGCGCCCTGGACGCCAAGCCGCGGGGATCGATGACCCCCGAGTGAGCTGGGCTGACGCGCGTCTGCTCTGCGTGCGGCTCTGCGCGCTAGCATTTTGGCTGCCGGGAGGCGAGGCCCGGGCCCCGGCAGGGGCGCGGGCCAAGGTCCCTCTCTGCAGCGGCGTCCGCCTCCCGCAGCCCAGGGCGGGAGCTGACCCGTTCTGGCTCTGGGACCTCGAGTGTCCCCGCCCCCGCCGCTTTCTACTGCTTCGCCTAGCTCCTCAGCCGGGAGCGAGAGGACAAGGGGATGGGCTCCCTGGGCTAGCGGGAGAGCTCCCTCCAGCCAGCTGCGTGCACCGGGCACCCCCGTGGCCCGTGCAGAGTTAATTGTAGCTCGCGCTGCTCTCCCGCACAGGCGCGCGCGTCCACACTCGCAGGCCAGATTTAAGGTGGTCGGGAGCTGATGAGGGAGAGCGCCACTGCTGCCACTCCTCTGCTTCCCGCGGGCTCCTCTCTTTTGCTGGCTCCACAGCAAGCCCGGGGTCCTGGCTGGAGCCGGGCGGCAGGGAGGTAGCTCTTCCCTCCCACTCGCAGCCCACCAGCGCCTCTCCGTCAGCGCTGAGCGCACCTAGCCCTAAAGGTAGGACTTGAATATTTTAATAGGGCAATAAAAAGGATGTTGACCTATATTTGCAAGGAAACCCATTTCTAGCTTCAGTTATACGTGCATGGAGTTTCAGAAAGTCTGGAACTGGCTGGGAGATTGGCAGCTCGCAAGTCTCCAAGGAGGTGGGGAAGGAGAGAAGAATCGTATTTTGCTTTGCGTCTCCTCCCCCACCCCAGTGATATTTATTCGCCCCTAATTCTTATGCAAGCAGGTTGAAAACTAAAGTGATGCAATGCCAGTAAGTTCTAAGTCCCTCCCCTAAGGTACCTGGAGCCTGGGAGAATGAAAGAGCATCCTTAAAGAAATATCGATAGGTTCACACTCTGATGGGCACAATTGCCAAGGCTGGAATAGCAATCCCAGCTATGCCATAGAGCCGGGACAAGCCTGGTGGCCTCTGGAACCCCTGCCTTTTGTCAGGACACCTCCTGGCTTTACCAGTGGAGAATTCTTGGTGAGGAGCTCCAGGGTGGGGGTGGTGGCAGGACAGAATGATACAGAGGATGGGGAGACCTGCAGGTCTGAGTCCTCAAGCTCAAGGCTGCATTCGTACAGAGCCCTGGGGGGAGCTTTATGCTTATGCTGCATTCTCACCCCTCCCTCCATTCCCACTCCTGACTTGGAAAGGGCAGACACCCCCAAGTGAAGGTCTGCCCAAGTTACATGCCAGGGTGAGGCAGGATGGGGAAGGCCACTGTAGCAACACTGATCAAATTGGGGCCACAGTTGGACCCCCTCCTGTCCTCACCCACACCCACATCCTAAACTTCTCCAGCAGGACCCTTAACCTCCATTCTCCTCTGCGAAGAGAAAGAGATGCTGGGTGGCCAGGAGGGTGGGGAGGAAGACGGTGAAACCGCCCTGGGACCTGCTGGAGAGCAATCCGAGTAAGTGTAGAACTGCCGGCCACAGGCAACCCCCTTCAAAGCAACACATTCCGCGCCCGGCGCGGGGTTTCTACCTGAGTCATCAGCCGGTCCGCTCCGGTGTTTTCCTCATCCTTAAATATGATGTCGGGGTTGTAATTGGGGGTGAGTTCCTTAAATCGCTCGGAGTTTCTCGAGATCTTTCCTTCGTACCTTCCGCTGGCTCCTAGGGTTTTCTCCGCCACGTTGGGGATAAACTGCTTGTAGGCTAAAGGGGTCAGCTTTTTAGGGTGCCGCCTCTTCCCGAACCCCCTGCCAGGTCCACACGCCAGCCCGGAGCACACGAGCAGCGAGGAGACGAGGACCACCAGCAGACATCTCGCCAGCAGCAGCATCTCGCCCATGGAACCCGATGACTTCAAAGCTGTCCCCGTGCGGTCTGTGCTCGGGTGCGCGCGGCGGGTGTGTGCGTGTGCGCTCTCCCTTGCGCTCTCGCTTCCCCGCGCCGGCTCGCGCCCTCGCTCGCCGCCTCGCTCTTTCTCTTCCTATATAACCTTGCCCGCCGCCGCGGCAGGGGACTCTCCGCGGATCCCCACCCAGGCAGGGGCTGGAATGGCAGGCTGCGGGGCGCTGATAACGGAACACATCGGAGTAGGGTCTCGAGACAGCAATCAAAAGACAAAAAGAGTCTGATTTTAAATGGTAGCAAGCCCGGGGAGCTTGTGAGCGAGGCCGCCTTTAGCGCTACATTATAGCTGGCAGGGGCGCATCTGATTGGCCGGAGCTGCACAAGCTTGTCTTCTGATGTTAACCCTGAAGAAGACTACATTTTTTTTTCCCTGTTGCTGCTGTTGCTTTATTTTCACCTGAAGGCCTCGAGTTAAAAAAAAAAAAAGAAATCTTTACCAAGATAAAGGTGGGCGGGAGGGAGGAGGCGCACTTCCCGGGATGGCATCAGCTACCCTCGCTTTGTGTACATCTCTGCGCTTCCCCCTTTACTGTCTCTGGAATGGTAGGTGCTTCAGTTAAAACCAACTGAAGTTTTTAAAGGACAGTTTAGACCCCCCTCCCAAGTTTCAATCCTCAGTCTCTTGAATGTTTGAAGGGCAGAGCTGCCCAGAGCTTACAGGCCTCCCTGCATTTGGGAGAAAGAGGACTGAGCTTCCTATGGAATATTCACAGCAGTGGGCTGAGGATAATTACAAGTGAGCTCGACTTAAAGCATTGCCTTTTGAAATGCTTTAAGCACCTTAGAAAAACTTAAAACCCCTGTGACTGTGTTTCAATTACTGCTTTAATAAATAATAATAATAATAATAAAACCTTTGCAAATGAGGTGACAGCATCAGGGCAGAGACAGAGTGAACTGAAGGCCCGCAGGGTGAGGGGTGAAGGGGTCTGAGGGTCTGGGTGCTGTCCCCCATGAGGAAGAGGGAGCATGGCTGGCCTGTGCTTAGGCTGGAGGCCACAGAGCCCGGGCAGCAGTGAGCGGGCGAGGCCATGCACACGCACCACCCCCACCATGAGATCGATCAGAGCAAAGTGCAGGCCAGGGATGAGAAGAGTGTGCAGTGCAGGCTCCTTGCCACAGCATGAGGAGCTGCCCGACCTGAGGCCCAACCAGCCATCAGTCCTCAGGGACAGGAGCCCTGGGGGCCCTGGAAGAGCAGTGTTCTGGTCAGGGAGGGGCTTTCTAGGGGAGGGCTCAGGGCCTGGGGTTCAGTGATGCCAGTGTTCCCAGTCCCCTTCTTTCTTTCAGAAAAAGCATCTCCAAAAGTCCTAACTAAACCCAAAAAAGTGAAATCTGCAACACCCCTTCTTTAAGGAACATGCCCCCCACCTGTTCCTCTGGAACAGGAGGAGGGGGCAAGGCCATTCCTGTGCAGTAGACGCGCCTGCCAGTGCTGCTGGGAAGGCACAGCTCCCCCCTGGTGTGGCCTGTCTAGTGGAGGGAGAGGCCCAGTGAGAAGTTCAGCCCCCAAACAATGTGAAGTCTCCCACAAGTTCCCTTTGCAGGTGAAGTGTTCTTTGGTGGGTTGGGAGAGGAGAGGCACATCTTAAGAGCATCTGCTTTTGGTCTAAGAGGCTGAGCCGGACCAAGACCGGGCAGTCTGGGCCCTGTGGAAGGTTCTCCTGAGCTCTCCCACCCCACCTCCCTGCTTTCGTCCCTAGGAGACATAGAATCTCTGGGCAGGGCCAGCAGAGCTCAGCTGGAGAGCCCAGGATACCGAGTGTCCCTGTGCCTGTGCTGTGTATTCCCAGTAAGACCAGACACAGGAAAGGATACAGGTGGATATAACATCACTGCCCCCACTGTGGCAGGTCAAGTTGCCTCTGTTCCCCTCCTCCCCCCACTTTCCCAGCCGGCTCCCCCCTTTACAAGCCCAGGCGGTGCAGAGGGGCTGGGGGGACATGTGGATGTGGCGGGTGGCTCTCCACATAGCTCCGCTGGGCTTGGGGTGCCCCAAGTGGGCTCAGCTCCCTCCTGGCAGAGAGCAGGGAGGGCTCATGACTGGCACTGTGCTTGCTCATTGAGATACCAGGGTCATTTCCTCAGGCCTTCTGGCCCCAAGGGACAGGGAGGACCTCTGTCCCTCACCATCAGAGGGACGGTCAGAGACGGCCACCCCCGTCTGCTAGCACTAGAAATCCAGGAGAGCCTTCCTGGGCAACCTCCCCCAAGATTGGCCTGATTTTAAGAATAAAGTGAGGACGGACCATAAAACCCGCCACATGCCTGATTTTGGAGGGCTTGCTCCCACCATTACAGTTTATTTTTATTGTCATAGAAACCAGGGCAGCAGCCTGAGCCACCAGAGTCTCTGTGGGGACTCTCAATCCTCCATGGCCCAGACACCCTGCCTCCCCCTCCAGACAATTTGGGCCTCTGCCCTCATGCCCATGATAGGCTCCGGACCAGGTCAGACCTGCAGCCGGCCCTCCAGTTCCTCTGGCTCTGCTTTTCTTCCTTGTGGTTGTTGCCATCCCACACTCCCTTCCGCTGCCTTCTTCCTGCCTCCTCCGAGTCCCTGTGAGGACAGGTGGCCCCGGCTTCTGCCCCAGCCCCGCACTGGCCCGGCCCCTGCCGCTAGATGGCCTCCTCACTCTGCTGTCAGGCCGCGGTCGGCGGTTTGGGAAATTCCCAAGTCCCAGGTCAGAGGCCCCCAGAGGCAGGGCTAGCCTTGTCGGTTCATCCTCTCCTTGTCCCTGTCACCAGCTTCTGAACCCCTATTTCCCTAGGTTTGTGCCCCTGGGTCCTGCACCAGACCCTGACCTGCCACTGTACCACAGGTGTTGCCTCAGCTTCCGTCTCTGGGGTTGGTCTCTGATCTTACATCTCCCTTTTTGGGGTTCCCTTTGATGTCTCTTCTCACAAGGGCTCTGTGCGGTCTCTTTCTATCCAGCCATCCCATCTCAGTTTCTTATTGAATTTGATCTAGTTTTGGATAATAACTGTCTGCTGTCCCAGCTCTTTTCGTGATTGCCAGCCAGGCCCCTCCCTGACCCCTGGACCTGGGTATGGAAGTCTCTAGTTCCCTTAAGAGCCTAGGAACACCTGTGGGCCATGGACCACCGCCTAGATATGGCTGACCGAGGTGACAGCTCCCCTCCTGTGCATCACAGAGGTGAGGGCCCAAAGTGGTCCCAATGCTCCCTGGACCCCCTGCATCCACAGGAGGGGTCAGCTGGGAGGTAGCCTCTAGGATACAGAAGATAGCCAGGACACACGACTGTGGCTGGCAGGACAAGCTGGCCCTGCTGAGGGCTGGGTGGGGCTGGATACCTGAAGTATGGTCAGTGCTGTGTTTCTCTGTGGGCATCCCAGGTGTCCACTGGCCCCATGGCTGTGATGGGAGCCTCTTCCTCCTGATGTCAGCCACATTCTGAAGCTGGGGTGCAGGGCTATTTCCATGGCTGTGGCCTGGCCTGAATGCTCACAGAACCCAGTCGGTATGGCCATGTCTGCCTCCCAGAGCACAGACCTGGGGCATTTCCCACCTACTTCATGTGGGGCCCTCAGCCAGCTCTCAGGGTTCCACTGGTGGGGGTCGAAGAAGCTGGATTTTGCAGATGAGGAGACTGAAATGTAATTTCTGGGATCATTGGGAAGATCACGTAGCCAGCTAGTGGAGAGTCAAGGTGGACGTCCTGTGGTGGGAGGAACGGTGAGGCCCAACCCCCAAAGCCTTGCTCCAGGACTTGGTGCTCATTTTCACTCTCCTCTGTGGAGTCAGTTTGCTTTCATTTTAACAAGTGAGTGTTTCTTCTTAGGTCTAAATAATGTCTCAGGTATGTGGCTCTTTGCTGTTTCAAAGTGGTTTTGTGCCTGTGGTCTGGGGTGCCTCCAGCTGTGAGCATGAGCTGGAAAGGGGGTTGCAGGGCTGGTGGCTTGTACCAGGAAGAGGGTTCCCAACTTCTTCCTCTGGTCCTGAGCCTGTGTGCAGCCCCTGTCTAGGGGCTGCCTGGGCACTCCCTGGAGACTATCGCTCCTCAAATCTTTGTGCCTAGTGAAGACGCAGACTGCCCTGGGGAAGCTGGTGCATTAAACTCCTGTGCACATTAGAATTACCTGGGAGCTTTGGAAAAAAAACCCAACAGGGCCCAGGCCTCCCTCCTAACGACCAAGTTAGAATTTCTGCTTTGCTGACTTCCCTTGCAGGAATCCCCAAGCCCAGGGGTGGGGTGGGAAGAGGGCTCTGGGTTTTCAGCTGGGTCCTCCCCCCTGACACCCTATCCCCAATGGGGAGCCTGAGCACCCTGGGACCTGTCTGCCTGGTGGGCTGGTGTGGAGCTACACACAGGGCTGTGGGCAGCAGAGGCCAATGCCTGAAGTGTGTGTGTGTGTGAGGGATGGCAAGTGTGGGAGGTGTCACCAGGAGGCTGGGGTGCCTTGGGGCAGGGAAGGTGTAGGACTGGGGTCCTGGATGCTGTGACAAGCAGCTTCTCTCTAGGGTAGCCAAGAGCTGGGTTCAGACAGATCCCACCACTCTCTGGCATGTGAGAAGACCAAAAAAGGGGACTCCTGGCTCCGTGCCCCTCAGTGTCCCTTTCCTGGGGAATGAAGACTTAGAGCCATTTCCACCCTCTGCTAGAGAGACCTCCTGACTAGTCAAGGGGGACTGCAACCCATCTGGCAGGTCACAGATTGCATCCATCATCTGGGCAGCTTCTGTCCAAACATTTTCTTTGAAAAAGAGAGAGAAAAGGGGTGCAATGCCAGCATGCAGAAACAAAAGCCATTTCTTTACAGGAGCAGAACTAACTCAGAGAGTCCCCAGGCAGAGATGGCAGTAGACAGTGTGTGTCCACAGAGAGCGTTGTGTGCCTGGCCCCCTTGCCAGCAAGTCCTGGACCGTTTGGCTGCTGCCTGCCCACTCCCACATGCTCCCACCTCTACCTGTCAGAATAGAATGCCAAGTTCCTCCAGGCCTGGATTTTCTAGAAAGACTTAAACTTTTGTGTATGGCCAGGGATTCTGTGGGGATGTTCCTGGGCAGACCTGCATGAACTGAGGAGCTCTGTTGGG